TGCTCTAATAGATTTTTATATTTTTCCCATACTTTTATCAATGCTTTCCTAATTATATTATTATGAAATCATTTATGTATCTTCCCTTTGTTATACCATAAATATGCATGCCAACCAAACCTATTATTATGTCCTTCCAGATTTAATAAATCAGTATTTTCTAATTTGATCCAATCCCGGATCCAAGTAATGCAGCTTGCCTCATAATACAATTTTAAATCTGGAAGAGAGAAGCCTCCTCTATCCTTCACATCTGTTAATATTTTATATTTTATTCTTGGGTTCTTCCCTTTCCAGATAAATTTAAATATATCTTTTTGCCATTTCTTAAAGGAAACTGCATCACCAAACTGTATTGTTTGGAATAAACAACACTTTTGGCAATACATTCATCTTGATTGCTGCAATTCTTCCTATTAAGGGGAGATTCATTCTTCCCCGTATTTCTAGATTCCTTTTTATCTCATTCCAGCATTTTTCATAATTCCTAAATATTTAACTTTTTATGGGTTTCTGTTTCTGTAATTTGAGTTTTATCCACTTCTTTCAAATTTTTAACTATTTGGTCTTGTTTTTATTTAGTTTAAATCCTGCAACTTTCCCAAACTCCTGAATTTTTTCTATTACTTTTGGGAGAGAGTCTTTAGGATCTTCTACCATAATTACCAGATCATCTGCATAGGCTTTCAATTTATATGACTTTTGCCCTATTTTTATTCGTTTAATATTTTCATCTGCCCTGATATTTCTCGCCAGGACTTCTAATACCAATATAAATAATAAAGGTGATAACGGACATCCTTGTCTTGTACCTTTTTGTATTCTACATTCCTCTGTTACCACCTGATTAACAATTAATATTGCTTTTTTGTCTGAATATATGGCTTGAATTCCTTTCTTAAATTTATCTCCGAAATTTATTTCTTGCAGAGTCCCCCCCCATAAATTCCCAAGACACATTGTCAAAGGCTTTTTCAGCATCTATAAACATCAATGCTGCTTGTTTTTCATTTCTCATTTCCAGATACTCTATAATGTCAATAATATTTCTAATATTATCCTTCATTTGTCTGCCTGGGAGGAATCCCACCTGGTTCTGATGTATGTAATCTTTCAATACTGATTTCATTCTGTTGGCCATTATGTTAGCAAATAATTTATAATCATTATTTAATAATGAAATTGGTTTATAATTATTAACTGCTAACACATCAGCCTCTTGTTTTGGAATTGAAGTTATATATGCTTCTTTCCATGTCTCTGGGACTTTCCCTGAAGTTAAGGTTTCATTCATTATCTCCTGTAATGGACTCACCAATTGGTTATTTAGTTTCTTGCAATATTTTGATGGTAATCCATCTGATCCTGACGATTTCCCTGTTTTTGCCAACTTAATTGCATCTAATATTTCCTATGGTGTTATATGGGCATTTAAAACTGCTAATTTCTCTTCTGTTATCCTTGGCAGGTTACTAGCCTTCAAATATTGGTCTATCTCTTTGCTTTTTTCCTCTTTCTTTCCTAAGTTCCTTCGGGTTGTCTATAATTTTTTCATTTACTTTGATTTTATTTATGATGGTTTTTTGCTCACTTTTATTTAACTGCCATGCTAATAATTTCCCTGGTTTGTTTGCATATTCAAAATGTTTTTGTTTCATTCTTTTTATTTTCCACTCTATTTCTTGATTAATAATCACTGAATATTGTGTTTGTAATAGTTTTATTGCTTGCTTTATGGACTCTTTATCTGGTTTATCTATTAACTTTTTTCATTTTTCATTAATGCCTCTAGTATCTCTCTTTTCTCTCTGTTTCCTTCTATGTGTATTTTGTTGAATGAATAGACCTCTCATGACTGCTTTGCTGGCATCCCATACTACCAGTGTTTTGGTACCTTTATTAAGATTTAATTCAAAATAATCTTCCAAGATTTTTTGTGCATTTTCTAAAAAAAATTGATCTTCTCACAAATCCTCATTTAATCTCCACCTGAAGGTGGATTGAATTTCATTTTGCATTTCTAAAAACACAGGGTTATGGTCTGATATTATTCTTGGCACTCCATTCAAATCGCCCATCAAAATCATTTTCTGACCTGCAAAATCCATTAGGTCATACACATATATATATATATATATATATATATATATATATATATATAATTTCAATTTTTTCCCATTTGGGGCATAAATTCCTATCAATAATTTTCCCCCCGCCTTGCACCACAATCTGTGTCACTATAACTCTCCCTTGATCATACTTTAATATTTGTTTGGGCTTCAATTTTGATTTAATGTAGAAGACCACTCCACGTTTTTATTTATTTATCTGCTATTATAAATTCGATTCCAAACTTTTTGTTACTAAGGACTCTTTGGTGTGTTTTTTTGCTATATGTGCTTCTTGGAGACACGCTATGTCTAAATTTTGCTTGAGAAGTATATGATGTATTTTATTTCTTTTTGTTTTACTATTTAAGCCATTTACAGTCCAACTTAATAACAGGTTTGCCATTCTGTTTTCTTACTTGTTTTGACCTAAAAGTTGTTTAAGCTTCTCCTTTTTCCTGATTATTTAAAATATCTGTATCCCCACCTGTTGCTCTGCCTTCCCCTCCTTCTGCTCCCATTGGTAATTTATCTCCCTGTCCTGGTGAGCCCAAAGGGCGAGGTCCTGAAAATGGGTTGTCAAATTCAAAGTCCTTGCCATATTTGCACCAGAATTCCTGTGCTTGGTCTTCATTTGCCAATCTGTGTTTTTTACCTTTAAATTTAAAGGAAAGTCCTTCCGGAAATTTCCATCTGAATCTTATGTTGGCTTTATTCAGACCATTTTTTATAAAGCGAATCTCTGGCATCGTTGTCTTATAATTGAAGGGATTTCTTTATACATGGTCACCTGAGTTCCGTCAACCTGGAGACTGCTTTCATAGCTTTTTTGAAGGATCGCACCTTTCTTAGAAGTAAATGTTACCAAACAGTCTCCAGCTTGCTTTGTGTCTCTTGACCTTTTGGAGTGAATTTGGTAACAACTTTCTATTGATTCCTCTAGAAATTCCTGACTCTCCCCCATCCAATCAGCAAGCGTCTTGGCTATATATGTCGTCAAATCCTGTCCCCCCTCCTTCTCTGGCATATCTCTTATTCTAAGGACGTTGGATTTTTGTCTCATCTCAAGCAGAACAAGCTGTAAATCAAATTGATCCTGCCTATCCGATAAACCTCTCATGTCTGCCTTTATAACGTCCTGTTCTTCCTGTAACTCTGGGCAGCTTTTTCTGTTTTTTTGAGTTCTGGATTCTAATTTTTTTACCATTATTTCCATAGTATCTAATTTATCTGTTTTTGCATTTTCCCCCCAAATCCCCCCTTATATCTTGCTTACAACTATCCAATTGTAATTGCATTTGACCCAGCATTTCCTTATGAAAATTTCCCATTATGGATGATACCTCTGAAGCAACACTAATCTCTGGGACTGAGTCCCTTCGGCCTGCTGGGGAGCAGGCGGAGTGAGTGGGAAAGTTTGTGCATTCAGCATTGCGGCTTTGAGCTGCTGCAATGGGGATTTCAGCGCTTTTGTGTTATCAATCACAGCCTTCCCTTTGTTTGGGAATGGGTGCTATTGGGCAGCCTTTGGCCGTTTCCCTTTTGTGCCCATCCCCCCATCATTGCCCTCCCTGTAGGTAAGCAGGAAAGGCTTTACGCCATAGCCAAATTGCTTCTGTTTCAAGCAGGGACTTAAGCAGCAATTGGCGAACTTAGAGTGCAACGTTCTTCATAGAGCAAATTGGAGGGAGCCTTCTTACAATGGCCTGGGTTTATTTAAGTGAATTTTCACCTCCAGATATGTATATATAAGAGTGTATGTTTGTGTGCGCGTGTGTAGTCCGGTCCGCCACAAGGTCTGAGGGACGGTGAACTGGCCCCCTGCTAAAAAAGTTTGCTGACCCCTGTTTAAGATCAAGGTCAGTGCTTTTAAATAATCTTCCCCATGCAGTTGGCTGTCTGCCAGAAAAAGGAGGTTGACTCCCTTTTTAGTTTCCGGTTTCACCAAATTATTTAATTAGAACAAAGTAGATTTTAAAAGCAGCTTACTGCCCATCCAGCTCCAAATGTTATTCGGAAAATACTCTGTTTTCAGTGGCAACCTGTGACTTCAGCCGGCGGAGCCGCGTTTTAGCCAGGAGCGCTCTCAACCGCTTCTCCCTCCCCCTCCCCCTCCCCCTTCGGCTTGGGTTTTTGGGCAAAAAGCAGGAGAACATCACTTCTGCCAGACCTCTAGACACCTCACAGACCTTCGTGAGGCTTTCTGGGGGTGTTCCTAGTCCTGGCACTCTCCCCTCTTGCTCCTGCCAGCTTTGGAAGGATTGCTTTGATCAGAGCGATCCGTTCTGCTCTGCCTTTTTCCGAGTGGCAGAGGACTGAGCACTCTTTGGATTTGGTCAGTCAAAGTTTTGTTTGGGTTGTTTTGCTTTAAACCCTCCCTACAAATAAAAGCTAGCCTATCGGGGAGAAAGAGTGACTAGGTGAGTATGTTCCCTACTTTGCTGAAATTTCTGTTGATGCAACAGAAGATTCAAAAAATGGGACAGTCCCACCTCCACCCACATCTTACAGTCCACTTGTGCCAACCAGGCCTGCTGTGTAGAAAACTAAAAGTCCAGTGCTGATTTGGACCAGTAAAAAGAGCTGGCTGGATTCACTGTAAAGAGCAACTACTGGTTAGTTTGACTTTTCCTTCTCTCTCCCTTTCTCCCTCCAAGGTTGCAGTTCTTCATGCAACCTGCTCAAAATCCTCTTCAACTCAACCAGCCTAGCTGTTCCTCGTGATCCAAGCTTCTCTCACACACAGATAAGGGCAGTTCATCTTAATCAAATGGCCTGCACTCCATGTTTTATGGTGCCGCACTGCCGTACTCTTATTAAAGCTGTTATTATGCCAGAATAACTGCAACAATAATTTCAAATGACATTAGAGGATAGCCTTCCACCACCATAGCTGGGGACGGGCCACAGCTCAGCGACAGAGCATCTGCCTTGCACGCAGAAGGTCTCTGGTTCAGTCCCTGGCATCCCCAGTTAGGACTGGGAGAGACCCCTGCCTGAAACTCTGAAGAGCTGCTGCCAGTCAGTGTGGTCAATACTAAGTTAGATGGACTAATGGTCTGAGTTGGTATAATGCAACTTCCTATGTTCCTGTGCACACACATGTAAAGATGCAGCTATAGGTTTTGGTCTGAGCTTGGCACATGGACTCATCAGGCAGGGTGTCCCTGCCCACCTGGACCCCTCTTAGATTCCTCCCCCCCCCATCAGTGTCAGACAACCCAGTGCCCCCAACATCTAGAAAATGGTAAGAAATGGATGTGGTGCTGGTGATGCCTGAAGTCCTTTGAGCATGATATATAACTGCCAAGTTTTATTATTTGACCATATGGGCTGTGATTTCCTCTTCCCCCTTTGTGTACTAGGTCAGGCAAAAGGAGGGTCTCCTCCAGGATCCCTGCAGTGCAGGCGGCTGGACTAGTTGACTCTTGGGCTCTATGATTCTCAGAGACACTTGCTCTTCCACAACTATAGATTGCTTCATCCATAGCAAGTTTCCTCAGAAACAAATCCTGTCAAGTTCCATAGGATTTATTTTCTAATAGGTATCCAAAAGATTGCAAGTCTAAACTCTAAACTTATGCTATAAAAATAAGAAGAGTCCCACTGGATTTAATTTCATTCCTGTTATTTGTATCCCACTTTTCTTCTCCATGGAGCTCAATGTGGTATACCAGCTTCTCCCCCTCCTCATTTAATCCCCACAACAATGAGGATGAGAGGCAATGACTGGCCAAAGTCACCCAGTGAGCTTCATAGCTGAGTGGGGATTTGAACCCTGGTTTCACAGGTCCTAGTCCAGCACTCTTCATCCTGGAGAAGAGTGACTAGTGGGGTGCCACAGGGTTCTGTCTTGGGCCCGGTCTTATTCAACATCTTTATCAACGACTTGGATGATGGACTCAAGGGCATCCTGATCAAATTTGCAGATGACACCAAACTGGGAGGGGTGGCTAACACCCCAGAGGACAGGATCACACTTCAAAACGACCTTGACAGATTAGAGAACTGGGCCAAAACAAACAAGATGAATTTTAACAGGGAGAAATGTAAAGTATTGCACTTGGGCAAAAAAATGAGAGGCACAAATACAGGATGGGTGACACCTGGCTTGAGAGCAGTACATGTGAAAAGGATCTAGGAGTCTTGGTTGACCACAAACTTGACATGAGCCAACAGTGTGACGCGGCAGCTAAAAAAGCCAATGCAATTCTGGGCTGCATCAATAGGAGTATAGCATCTAGATCAAGGGAAGTACCGTATTTTTCGCCCTATAGGACGCACTTTTTCCCCTCCAAAAATGAAGGGGAAATCTGGGTGCGTCCTATGGGGTGAATGCAGGCTTTCGCTGAAGCTTGGAGAGCGAGAGGGGTCGGTGCGCACCAACCCCTCTCGCTCTCCAGGCTTCAGGAAGACATCCGCAGCCTAGGCAGCCCTGCGGGAGGTCCCGCAGGGATGTCTAGGCTGCGGATAGCAGCCTTCTTCCTGGAGCGTCGGACGCCCTGAAAGCAGAGCGCCCGGCGCTTCGGGAACACATCCGCAGCGTGGGGAGCCCTGCAGGAGTTCCCCGCAGGGCTCCCCACGCTGCGGATAGCAGCCTGCTGCCCGGCGGGCGGGGCGCCCTGAAGCAGAGCGCCCCCGCGCCGGGCAGACATCAGCCAGCCCCACAAGCTCGGGGGACAGCAGGGAGGCGCAGCGCCGCCATCCCGCTGTTCCTCGACCTTGTTCGGTTTCCCCGACCTGCTTTTGGGGGGGAAATAAAGGGAAATTTTTTTTTTCTTTATTTCCCCCCCAAAAAACTAGGTGCGTCCTATGGGACGGAGCGTCCTATGGGACGAAAAATACGGTAATAGTGCCACTGTATTCTGCTCTGGTCAGACCTCACCTGGAGTACTGTGTCCAGTTCTGGGCACCACAGTTCAAGAAGGACACTGACAAACTGGAACGTGTCCAGAGGAGGGCAACCAAAATGGTCAAAGGCCTGGAAACGATGCCTTATGAGGAAGGGCTAAGGGAGCTGGGCATGTTTAGCCTGGAGAAGAAGAGGTTAAGGGGTGATATGATAGCCATGTTCAAATATATAAAAGGATGTCACATGGAGGAGGGAGAAAGGTTGTTTTCTGCTGCTCCAGAGAAGCGGACACGGAGCAATGGATCCAAACTACAAGAAAGAAGATTCCACCTAAACATTAGGAAGAACTTCCTGACAGTAAGAGCTGTTCGACAGTGGAATTTGCTGCCAAGGAGTGTGGTGGAGTCTCCTTCTTTGGAGGTCTTTAAGCAGAGGCTTGACAACCATATGTCACGAGTGCTCTGATGGTGTTTCCTGCTTGGCAGGGGGTTGGACTCGATGGCCCTTGTGGTCTCTTCCAACTCTATGATTCTATGATTCACTCTAACCACTACACCACACTGGCTCCACACAGCATTGGGCCAAATACCCATCTAGTCAGCATCCTGCTCCTCACAGTGGCCTACCAGGTGCCTCTGGGAGCCGGGCTGAAGCAGCACATGAAGGCAATGGTCCTCACCTCTTGTTGCTGCAACAGAAAGTGCAATCCTCTGCATGCCTTCTCAGATGTAAGCCCCATTTAGTTCAATGGGACTTACTCCCAGGAAAGTGTGCACAGCCACAGTGCCACTGAACATGTAACAAATCTTTCCAATCAGCTATCTAATACCCTTTTTAAATCCACCCAAGTTAGCAACTATCAACATACCCTGTGTCAGAAAATCCTGTGAATCAATTTTGCACTGTGTTGCTTTCTTTTATCTGTCCTGAGGGTTTTTACATGAGTAGATGAGGGTTCATTGGATCAGCCCTGAGTGCTAGCATTACCTGAGGGAGAGGTAAGGAGAGGGAGGGAAAAGTCTCCCTGCCTGCTTTCTCCACACAGTGCTTTAAATACGTGGATGAGGAACAAGTGGACCCCAGATGTTGCTGGGCTCTGGCTCCCTGCAGCCTCTGCTAGCATGGCTAATCATCACGATTCTGGGAGCTGCAGTTCAACAAAATTGGGGAGTGGTGGGCACAGGCTCCCCATCCCTGCTCTGCTATGTCTCCAGTCATTTAGGTAAATGGAAAGGCCATTCATTTCTCTTTTTCATGGATGCTTTTGCTGCGATTCCTGCATTGCAGGGGGCTGGACTAGATGACCCTTGGGACCCTTCCAACTCTACCATTCTGTGATTCTTTATGAAGTGTGCTAGAACACACCCACACCCACACACACACACACCAGAGCTGAATCCAGGTGGCCGGACCATTTGTCAGGGTGGTCTTTGGCATTAGTAGTTTCGGAGGTGAGTGAAGCACACCATGAAGCAGACTTTTGTTCCATCACACATCTCCAGTGAAAACCTTTCCCGGCTGGGCCCACTTCTTCCCACTTAGCCTGTCCATTATTATCCAGCCAAGAGGGACCACAGCTGGCCATAGCTAGAGATCGGTGCATGTATCTTCTCTTTCTACTTTGACTTCCTCCCATTTTACTTCTGTCAACACCAGCAAAAACAATAGCAACCGGAAGCAGCTCCAGACTGACTGGTCTTTGGAAGCCCAGTGAATGAGGCTGCCTTGGTGGGATTTGTATTTTGGACGTTGGAGTTGAGAGGAGGAGGATGATAACGACGACGACTTGCATTCCACCCATCAGCCTCGGTTGCCCCAGCCACTCTGGGTGATGCAAGAGTTGGAAGAACTCTGTGGTTCCGCTCTGGATCCCTGGTTCTTCTAGAGCAGGGGTCAGCAAACTTTTTCAGCAGGGGGCCGGTCTACTGTCCCTCAGACCTTGGGGGGGGGGGGGCGGACTATATTTTTTTTGGGGGGGGGATGAACGAATTCCTATGCCCCGCAAATAACCCAGAGATACATTTTAAATAAAAGGATACATTCTACTTAATTAAAAACATGCTGATTCCTGGACTGTCCGTGGGCTGGATTTAGAAGGCAATTGGGCCGGGCCGGCCCCCGTGCCTTAGTTTGCCTACCCATGTTCTAGAGCCACAGGTCCCTCCCAAACTGGATTCTTTGCTTGGTGTGTTCTACAGTGTGTCAAACCCACCTCAGAGCATTTGTGGTGTATGGCAAGCTCCTTAAAAGAGGCTTTCCCATTTTTATTTCCTAAAGGGAATAATGATCAGTCTGTTTTCTTGCACATTTGATTTCCCTCTAACCTCAATGTTTACAATTACTCCCCCACCCTCAAAACCCACTGCTTGTATCCTGGAACTCAGGAGAACACTTCATGCACCTGATGGTCCACTCAAAACTTGATCGGTAATAAATTTGGTAGCATGGTAAGGTTACAAATTCATGAATCTTGATACAACTCACACAATTCAGCAACTCAGGGTATAATTCTGTAGATGTTTATCTGGGCATAAAACTCTGCTGAATTTAATGGAGTTTACTTTTGAGTAGATACGCACAGGATTGCACTGTGAGATAAATTTACCAGGCAATCATATCCTAATTTCGCCTGTGGGTGCAGGGGGAGCACAAGGAGAGGGAGAGATGCACTATGGATCTTGTGCAGACTGGGAAGAGCAGTAATCTTAAAGAATCTGGAGCCATGCCAGAACTATTGTGTGTTGTGAGCAATTGGTGCTCTGAATCTGAGCATTGGTCATTTGTAGTCCAGATGTTCAGGGCGTGCCAAAGCCCTGCAAGAGCAAGGGCTTGCATGAGATATTTTCTTTTTTGGCTTCCTGGTTCAGCACCACCATTGCTATTGGGAAACCCTTAAAAAGGATTTCTTGTCTCTATTAATAGGTATAGTGCCAAATTTTCTCACTGTGGGCCAGCTGCTGACATGGATTCATTTAGAGTTTCTAATGCTTATTTCTATGGCAGAAAGCCAGAAGTGCGGAGTCAGCTGAAATCAGCAGGATTAATTCTTAAGGTGAGCAGCATTTTTGGGTGCACAGTAGAAGGCACCTTTATGCATTTGCACCACAGGTGAGCAACCTGCAGTCTTGAGGCTGCATGTGGTCCCCACTTCATTTTATGCACCTAGTGCACCTGGAAGCTGCTCCAAACTCCTATTACAGCTCTTTGCTTCTTGTTCCTTTCCTCATTTCCACTGGCTTTTGCAAGAGCTTCCCTCCGCAAGCAATATTTTATTTGATAACTGTACAGGTATGTGGTGTTGCTTCCTTCAGATGTCAAGGAGATAAAGAACTGTTCAACTTTTAGAAGACATCTGAAAACAGCCCTGTATCAGGAAGTTTTAAATGTTTGATTCTTTATTAAGTTTTATATATTCTGTAAGCTGCCCAGAGTGGCTGGGGAAACCCAGCTAGATGGGCAGGGTATAAATAATAAAATGATTATTATTATTAGTTTTTGAGCCATTTTTAAGGAAATTCGCCAAAATCGACACTTCCAACATGGGTTGCCATATGTCTGGATATTCCCAGACATTTAAGCAATTTCTGCCCAGACACTGTTTCCCAGCTATGTCTGGGAAATTCCAGGTGTGTGGCAACCCTACTTTTTAAAAATGCAGGTTAGGAACACTTCTTAGGTTGTAACCTCTTCAATCCAGTGGGACTTACTTCTGAGTAGACCTGTACAGTGGTACCTCGGGTTAAGAACTTATTTCGTTCTGGAGGTCCGTTCTTAACCTGAAACTGTTCTTAACCTGAAGCACCACTTTTGCTAATGGGGCCTCCTGCTGCCGCCGCGCCGCCGGAGCACAATTTCTGTTCTCATCCTGAAGCAAAGTTCTTAACCCGAGGTACTATTTCTGGGTTAGCGGAGTCTGTAACCTGAAGCGTCTGTAACCCGAGTACCACTGTACAGGCTTCAGAACAGAGGTCTGAGACAGCCATGGTGACAATAGGAGCAGAGCAGCCTGGGTAAGTCTTTGGCTCCACCTGCCATTGACTCTGGCTTCACCCACTGCCCACTGGAGCACTTTTGTAATAAGGTGGCCTAGAGATCTAGTAAGTTAATGAACAGAGATGCAGGGAGAAGCAGAATTCAGTTTTTTTAAATAAGGCAACCCCCCAAAAAGGGGGGGGACAAAATAAAGGTGTATTGAGGAAAGGATGAGCAAATAGGGGCTGTCCTTGGTAAATAGGAACAGCTGGAGTGTAAGACAATCTCCTGGAGTACCATGGTGCCTCTCCTGTTTCCAGCATCAGTTGCTGCATTCATTAATGGCTTGTGGAAGCCATTGATTTCCTTGCCGCTGGATGCTAATTAACAAAAAAAGAAATGGCTTTTTAATAAAGTGACTTTGATGAAGAAGAATAACCACAAAGTACCATATTTCCCTATGTTGTTGTTGCTGCTGTTATTTTCTGGAGGACAGAAATAATTAGGCCTGTGAGTCTAAAGAGAAATGGAAGCTGTAATTAAGAGGTTTGTCTCTAAGCAAAGCTCCTGGTTTTCTTTTTCATTGAATCAACCCCTCTCTGGTTCTTCTCTGCTCACTGAGCAAAGTCCCCATCTCTTGCTATTGGAACTTGAAATTTGTCTGCTTTGCTGCTTGATTTGAGTATTACCCCACTGGCAAAGGCAGAGAATGATCCAGAACTTTGAGGAAATCATAGAATCATAGAGTTGGAAGAGACCACAAGGGCCATCGAGTCCAACCCCCTGCCAAGCAGGAAACACCATCAGAGCACTCCTGACATATGGTTGTCAAGCCTCTGCTTAAAGACCTCCAAAGAAGGAGACTCCACCACACTCCTTGGCAGCAAATTCCACTGTCGAACAGCTCTTACTGTCAGGAAGTTCTTCCTAATGTTTAGGTGGAATCTTCTTTCTTGTAGTTTGGATCCATTGCTCCGTGTCCACTTCTCTGGAGCAGCAGAAAACAACCTTTCTCCCTCCTCTATGTGACATCCTTTTATATATTTGAACATGGCTATCATATCACCCCTTAACCTCCTCTTCTCCAGGCTAAACATGCGCAGCTCCCTTAGCCGTTCCTCATAAGGCATCGTTTCCAGGCCTTTGACCATTTTGGTTGCCCTCCTCTGGACATGTTCCAGTTTGTCAGTGTCCTCCTTGAACTGTGGTGCCCAGAACTGGACACAGTACTCCAGGTGAGGTCTGACCAGAGCAGAATACAGTGGCACTATTACTTCCCTTGATCTAGATGCTATACTCCTATTGATGCAGCCCAGAATTGCATTGGCTTTTTTAGCTGCCGCGTCACACTGTTGGCTCATGTCAAGTTTGTGGTCCACCAAGACTCCTAGATCCTTTTCCCATGTACTGCTCTCAAGCCAGGTGTCCCCCATCTTGTATTTGTGCCTCTCATTTTTTTTGCCCAAGTGCAATACTTTACATTTCTCCCTGTTAAAATTCATCTTGTTTGTTTTGGCCCAGTTCTCTAATCTGTCAAGGTCGTTTTGAAGTGTGATCCTGTCCTCTGGGGTGTTAGCCACCCCTCCCAATTTGGTGTCATCTGCAAATTTGATCAGGATGCCCTTGAGTCCATCATCCAAGTCGTTGATAAAGATGTTGAATAAGACCGGGCCCAAGACAGAACCCTGTGGCACCCCACTAGTCACTCTTCTCCAGGATGAAGAGGAACCATTGATGAGCACCCTTTGGGTTCGGTCAGTCAGCCAGTTACAAATCCACTGAGTGGTAGCATAGTCAAGACGGATATGCAAAAACACAGGCAGAAATTCTTGTGCAACAGAAACCCCAAATTCCCACAAAGGGTTCTGGTCTGCTGATCACAGATATAATAAATCATGGACTTGCTGAAGTTCTGCTGCATTTGCTAATAGATAGCATCTTTGTCGGGGGTTGACATCCCATTAATCTTCCTCTGGTTTCTCAACATAAAGGTTTCCTTTGGCTTTGCAGACCTGGCTCCGCTGCTCCCGCAGTATTGAGGGAGTGGATGTCCAATATCCCAGGCTAGTGTGGGCTTTCTATTGAAGGCTCCTCCTGTGCTTCTCTTGACCAGGTGTGGGGTTTGTGTGTTGCTTTGCCCCTCCAAGCACTAGTGAAATGGGCCATGAGTCAGCTTTTGGAATCATCGGACTCCCGTGATAAAGTCTTTCTTAGACCAGCCTTGGCCAAGCTGGACCCCTCCAAAACTTTTCGACTACCTATCAGCTGCAACCAGCACAGATGTCATTTAGGGTTGGGCGATAACTGATTTTCAATATTGCAATATTGAAACATTGTGTTAGATTGCAATGTTCAGCTGGTGATATTGTGAGGTTTAGCTGCTGATAACATTGCAACATTTAGCTGCTGAGTTACCGTGATGTTTAGCTGTTGAGTTATTGCGATGTTGAAAACCAGATATCGCCTAGCCCTTACACACATTGTGATTTGCAATATATTGCCAGTTCAAATATTATGAAACAATTATCACGATGTGAACTTCAAACCGGTGTTGAACGATATATGAATCTATTGCCCAGCCCTCCTGTCAATGGCCTCTCCTGGCTGTTCGCTTGTTGCTTCTTGGCGTGGTCTCTTGGCCTGAACCCTGGCCAGGCTCCCCCGTGATGATTCCTGATGGCTCAGCCCTGACAGAGGCTGCCCGCTGCTGCTGCTTCCCAGCAAGAGGCACACTCAGGACCTGAACTAATGCAGAACAAGGGATGTAGCTTCTCTGAGGCACAGGCTGTAAATTGGGGGCCTCCATCTGTCACAGGGAGCCTTCTGGGGGTTAGTGTCCCAGCAGTGGGCAGAGACCAAAGTGGGTGGAGTAATGGATGTGGCTCTTGCCTTTGCAAAATGGACTACCATCCATGCAAAAGACAGAGGTTTACACACACACTTCTCTTGCCTCTTTCCAGGCAAGCAGGACACATTATCACAGTTCAGAGACACATGTCAGCCAGGCAAAAGTATTTGAGGACATGGAGCAGAGCCAGCGGGAGCAGTGGTGGAGCTTCATGCGCCAGCACCGGGGGGCAGAGAGCAGGCGGGGGCAGGGCTGGCACGCATCCTGGGGGTGAGGCACGCTGCCTGTGGGGGCATGGCGCCCAGCGTGGGCAGGGGGCGATGCCCTCCCCCACCATAGCTGTCAACTTTTCCCTTTTCTTGCAAGGAATCCTATTCACAATAAGGGAATTTCCCTTTTAAAAAGGGAAACGTTGACAGCTATACTCCCCCCGCACTCCTCTTCCTCCGCCAGTGAGCGGGAGGTATGACCTGGCAGGGGAGAGGCATGTTCTAGGGACAGTCCTGCTGGCTGCATTTGGCCCCTGGTCCAGGGGATACTCACCCTGCTGCTGAAAATGAACTTTTTGGGAAGCAGGGGCAAGAGCAAAGTACCCCTTGATCCAACTTCGGGTGGGGAAGGGAGCAAGGTTCTTCTTGGATGCCATGACTTTCCAGGATTTGGGATCATGGGCAACTGGGCTCCTGAACCAGCCCCATTAGGAAGCCTCTGAGTGAGGTAAACTAGGTTAGCCAATTGACTCCTTAATTGTTTAACTGTCACCTGCCTCAGCGTTGTAGACGTTTCGGATTAAGGCCAAGCTGTAAATGGCATTGGTGCTGATAAGTCCCATTACCCTGGGTGGAATTATCCTCAGTCTGGACGGTCCCACAGTCTCACTATTATCTGCAGCCAGGAGGGACTGAGGGGGGCGGAGGCCTCGCGGGGCCTGGGGCCTGGGCCAGCCACCATGGGCAGCCATTAGGGGAGCCACAGTGGGGCCCGGAAAGCCTTTGGGTGACTGCCACCTCCAGAGCCAAAGAAAGCAAGGCCCGCAGAAGTCCTTTGGCCGGCCAGCCGGGCTGGACCGTAAATCTCTGGGGAACAAGGACTCTTTGCATTGCCAAGAGAGAAGTGATGTGTTGTCCCAGCCTTCAGTTGCTTTAAGAATTATTAATCTTTCCGGTAAGGTTTTATGTCTTCCTTTCCTTCCTTCCCCCTTTTCCTCCCAGCGAGTCATCCAATTTTCTGATACTATGCTTAAGGCTAACCTTTAAATTGTGTGTTATATTATTCTTTGATGATGCTCCCTCCCCTCCCGTCCCTCTTCTTTCAGTCAATGTGCAAGTGTTGTATTTACTGCTGCATCTTTTTAAGCCTGTTTAAAATCGAGGCAGTTATTTTTAGCTGACTCCACATAGCTGTTAGCAGAAGCTGTGGGCATTCAGCGAGGATCACGGGTTCTTGTGCATTTTTGGGTGACTTGGAGAATTAATGCAAGATGTTCCAAGTATCTCTGGAGCCTGGGAGAAGGCAGAAAATAGAAAATGCCTGCAAGTGATCTCCGTCAGGGTTTCTGATTTGTGTGGAGTCCCCCCTCCCCTTTTCCTTGCTAAAACAACCCGAAGTGTTGCTGTTTGTTGCTTTTTAAAAGTTTGACTGCTTTTGCATCAGCTTCTGCTGTGCTGTTCACTGTGGTTTTGGCCACAAGAAGAACACATATGTGATTTTGTGGGCATGCCACAGCAGTGTGCTCAGCAGGGCGCAAATACATATTAGTTTCAATATTATCAAAGATATTATTAAAGCCAGTAAAATATACATTGCAATTTCATTGTTGTGTGCTATGAAAATTAAGGTGGGAAAAACTTCTTGAAATAGTTGAGCAGGTTCTGCGGAGCACTTTTATTGAGGGACTCATGCATAAAGTCTTCTGGAAAGGCTTGCTGCTAGGTGGGGAAGGGAGCATCCGTCTCTGACTCGGCCTCCACCATCCCTGCGGACTCTGCAAGGGTCGTGCTCCATGTGGTCCCAAACAGGCAGCAGGCAGGTTCCAGGGAAGGAAGGGAGGGTTGAGGGGCCAAAGGCATGCATAGTTAAAACCAGGCAGTGGACAAGGGTGAGAACAGCAGCCAAGGAGCGTGAGTTAGGCAGATGGCATAACTGAGGTACAAGTTATGAGGCTGAGGTTTTATAGAGTCTGGTGGGCAGGGAGGGATTGGCCCTTGTGGTGGGAAAGTGGTCCTTAGGGGTTCCTGCACTGTAGGGCTCTTGACGTCAGGGTCTGTGTCTCAGTTTCATCCTTCTGTGGCCTTGGCTGTTGGCCCTTTTGATGTTGTCCGTCCCTCTTCATCTTGCCCTGGGACAGAGCTACCCACCTGGTGTGGTTCAATGTGTTGCTAATTTCTTAGAGGGATGTTGCATGGCAAAGATGCAGTTAAAGTATGGGAGTCCCATGTGGACATGGTCCCAAGGTATGAACTGAAAGCAGATGAGGCCACCACCTTGCTGAAGCTCAGCAAGACTTGGTCTGGTCACTTCCTGCATAGGTGACCACCTGCGAACCCCAGAGGAGGCATCATTGCATGATAACAAATAACTGTCCCTATCTTAGCTGTTCTAGGAAGAAGTTTTATTTTCTTTGGATATATTTTTGCATACCCTTTCCCCAATGCTGTTTTAGTTGCTGTTTTGTTCATACTGTAGCGATTTATAGATTATAATTGTTTTATTGATGATTTGGTAATTATTTTACATGATTTATACTGTATGTTCTATTATGTTATTGTTATTTATTGTTAGTAAGCCGCTTTGAGATTCTTTTGAATGAAAAGAGGCATAGAAATACAATAAGTCAAATAAAATCTGACGGTTGGCCTAAATTTGCATCTTTACACATAAATTTGCACACGTTATGCAGATTTCTCTCCACATTGCCTGTGCCTAGCAATGCCCTTGAGTCCAAGCCTCTGGGGTGGATTGGCAGGCCTCCGTCAGCTGACGCTGGGCTCTTCCCATCTTTATGGTCTTCCTGCAGCCTCCGTTTTGTAAGGCAGGCTTCATGGCTGAATAGGAATTTGAACCTGGTCTCCTCACTCTAAATATGTTACACTGTCCCAAGAGTGGGGGACCTTTTTCAGTCTGAGGGACACATTTTGTTCTGGTCAACCTTCCAGGGGCCACTTGACTGTGCTGGGTGGGGCCAGAGGCAAAAGGAGGTGAAGCAATGAAGGGAAATCTTATGTTTGTACAGTTGGCTAGTTTCTGCAAACACTCTCACTCCTCTCTAGGTCTTTGATCCAAGCAAGTTAAGAATCATTATCAGAAATTCAAGGGCACATTCCAGTCAGGCAAAAACACTCAAGTGGGGTGCATGGCCTGGGGGAGGCCAGGGCCAGATAGAGAGGCCTGAGGTTGTCTATCCCCTGCTCTCAGCCACCCCTTTTCCTTAATAAAAAAGCAAGTGCCCTTTTTCCGGCTTAATTTTTGGTTGTTTTGAAGTTTCCCCTGGTGTCTTGGCAATCTCTTATGTATTTCAGTCACGTTGAAAAAGCTGTGTAAGCTTTCTTACTAGAGGGTACGTCTTTAATATTTGTGTTATCCGTGCATAATGCAAGTTGACAGGATCTATATTTGAGGGGGGCAAGTCACATGAAGTGTGGATCCAAGGGTTTTCATTTTGTCAGGCAGAGGACAGGTTAGAAGTGCTGTATGAAGAAGCATATGAAGTTTCAGCCAACTCAGATTCAGCTAGTTGCTAGAGGCAGCAGGTTGGCAGCTGGTGTTGCTGGTTCTGAACCAGGTGGCAAAGGAGTGATCTTTCCTCAGAAGGAGCACCTTTCCTAGGAGGAAATGCAAGAGCATTTGGGGGCCTTTTCAGTTAGGGATAAAGGACAACTATTGGGGAGAATGCCACCCCTTTACATCCATTTCAGTTGTAGGCAGGTCTCAGTCATTCCTTAGGTCTACACTGGGATGTCCATAACCAAATGAGCTTTTACTGGAGCCACATCTATTGCTCAAGGAGCTGTCCAATGTTCTGGAGGCCTTTCCACACCTGGGTCTCTGTTTGCTCATTACCCACTTACTGCACCACATAATCCCAACAATTCAGGATCTGCAACAGGTTTCCACTTGCTGCCAGTCACCTCCACAATCGTTATGAAGTCTTGCCCGATGTCCAGTGTTTCTCTTCCACCTTTTCACTGGGTGAGCTCATATTCTCCATGTTCCTGGGCTCGACATTTTTACTATGTTTGGAAGGAACGCACATAGAATCATAGAATCATAGAGTTGGAAGAGACCACAAGGGCCATCGAGTCCAACCCCCTGCCAAGCAGGAAACACCATCAGAGCACTCCTGACATATGGTTAAAGAGCAAAAAAGCTTAAAGAGCAAAAAGAAGGAGACTCCACCACACTCCTTGGCAGCAAATTCCACTGTCGAACAGCTCTTACTGTCAGGAAGTTCTTCCTAATGTTTAGGTGGAATCTTCTTTCTTGTAGTTTGGATCCATTGCTCCGTGTCCACTTCTCTGGAGCAGCAGAAAACAACCTTTCTCCCTCCTCTATGTGACATCCTTTTATATATTTGAACATGGCTATCATATCACCCCTTAACCTCCTCTTCTCCAGGCTAAACATGCGCAGCTCCCTTAGCCGTTCCTCATAAGGCATCGTTTCCAGGCCTTTGACCATTTTGGTTGCCCTCCTCTGGACATGTTCCAGTTTGTCAGTGTCCTCCTTGAACTGTGGTGCCCAGAACTGGACACAGTACTCCAGGTGAGGTCTGACCAGAGCAGAATACAGTGGCACTATTACTTCCCTTGATCTAGATGCTATACTCCTATTGATGCAGCCCAGAATTGCATTGGCTTTTTAGCTGCCGCGTCACACTGTTGGCTCATGTCAAGTTTGTGGTCAACCAAGACTCCTAGATCCTTTTCACATGTACTGCTCTCAAGCCAGGTGTCCCCCATCTTGTATTTGTGCCTCTCATTTTTTTGCCCAAGTGCAATACTTTACATTTCTCCCTGTTAAAATTCATCTTGTTTGTTTTGGCCCAGTTCTCTAATCTGTCAAGGTCGTTTTGAAGTGTGATCCTGTCCTCTGGGGTGTTAGCCACCCCTCCCAGTTTGGTGTCATCTGCAAATTTGATCAGGATGCCCTTGAGTCCATCATCCAAGTCGTTGATAAAGATGTTGAATAAGACCAGGCCCAAGACAGAACCCTGTGGCACCCCACTAGTCACTCTTCTCCAGGATGAAGAGGAACCATTGATGAGCACCCTTTGGGTTCGGTCAGTCAGCCAGTTACAAATCCACTGAGTGGTAGCATAGTCAAGACCGCATTTTACCAGCTTCTTTACAAGAATATCATGGGGCACCTTGTCAAATGCCTTGCTGAAATCAAGGTAGGCTACATCCACTGCGTTCCCTTCATCTACCAGGCTTGTAATTCTGTCAAAAACGAGATCAGGTTAGTCTGACATGACTTTTTTCAGAAATCCATGCTGACTATTGGTGATCACAGCATTCCTTTCTAGGTGCTCACAGACTGTTTGCTTAATGATCTGCTCCAGAATCTTCCCTGGTATTGATGTCAGACTGACTGGACGGTAATTATTTGGGTCCTCTCTTTTCCCCTTTTTGAAAACATTTGCCCTCCTCCAGTCTGCCGGGACTTTGCCTGTTCTCCAGGAATTCTCAAAGATGACTGCCAGTGGTTCTGAGATCACATCTGCCAGTTCTTTTAATACTCTTGGATGTAGTTCATCTGACCCTGGAGACTTGAATACATCTAAACTAGCCAAGTATTCTTGTATATCTCCTTAGTTACTCTGGGCTGTGTTTCCTCTGCTGAATCATTTGCTCCAAATTCTTCAGGTCGGGCATTGTTTTCTTTATCGGAGAAGACTGAGGCAAAGAAGGCATTGAGGAGTTCAGCCCTTTCTGTGTCCCCTGTTTGCATTTCACCATCTTCTCCTCTGAGTGACCCCACTGTTTCTTTGTTCTTCCTTTTACTACGAACATACCCATAAAAGCCTTTTTTGTTGCTTTTAACCTCTCTAGCAAGCCTGAGTTCATTCTGTGCTTTAGCTTTTCTGACTTTGTGTCTACACGTGCTGGCTATTTGTTTGAATTCCTCTTTGGTGGTTTCCCCCCTTTTCCATTTTTTGTACACATCCTTTTTTAATCTTAACTCAGTTAAAAGTTCTTTAGATAGCCACCCTGGCTTCTTCAGGCACCTTCCATGTTTCCGTCTCATTGGTATTGCCTGAAGTTGTGCTTTTACTATCTCCCTCTTAACAAACTCCCAGCCATCATGAACTCCCTTTCCTTTTAGTATTACTTTCCATGGGATCTCACCCAGCACTTCCCTAAGTTTTATGAAGTCGGCTTTCTTAAAGTCAAGAAATTGAGTCCTAGTATGCTTGGCTGCTCCTTTCCGCTGTATAGTAAACTTCAGAAGAGCATGATCACTCGCGCCTAATGATCCTTCCACTTCTACCCCACTAACCAGGTCATCAACATTGGTTAGGACCAGATCTAAAATGGCTGTTCCTCTTGTTGCTTCTCCCACTTTCTGGACAATGAAGTTGTCTGCAAGGCTAGTGAGGAATCTGTTTGACCTTATGCTCTTGGCTGAGTTTGACATCCAACAAATATCCGGGTAATTGAAGTCCCCCATTACTACTATCTCCCTTCTAAGTTGTAATATCCTAGCCTTTGTGGAAGGGCTTTAGCTCAGCGGCAAAGCATCTGCTTTGCGTGCAGAAGTTCCCAGGCTCAGTCCTCCAGCATCCCCAGCTGTTGTGCTTGGATCCTGCTTATGGGCTTCGCATCCTATTGAGAACAACCAGCCAGATCCAGCAGGCTCTTCTTATGTTCTTATCTCGGGGTCTGGAACTCTGGAGAGCTGCTGCCCATCATTGTGGACAATACTGAACTAGAGAGACCATTGGTCTGAATCAGTTAGGAAACTTCCCATGATCCTTTGCGTGCAGAAAAATGTCAGATTTGGACAGTTTCTGAAAATCCCACTCCCCCCCCCCCAGTCAGCCCCAGCCACGCTCAGTATGTGCCACTGTGTCCCCAGCATATGAACCCTTGTCGTTTTGTTTGCGAGTATCTGTTCTCTCAGGGAGCAGCTAGTAGAAGCAGCAACATGATTATTTTTCTGCATTAAGTGTCTTCTTGGATTTGGCAAGTTATTTCCTGATCTGAACTGTTGTATCTTAGGAGCAAAACCCGTGGTGAAAGCTGGAACAATTGTAAATCGGTTCTGCTTTGACACATGGGGCAGGTCCAGGAAAGGGGGAGATTTTGACCCTCCTGACCCAAGTACATTTCCATTCTGTTGCAGAGATAGGAAGGCGGCCTGCCTTGGAAAGTCACTGGACTTTTACATTATCATTTCAATGCAGTTAGCTGGAGGGGAAGGGCTACCTTTGTTCTCCATGCCTGGTTGTACAAACAGTCCCAAAAAAAGGAAGTAATATATTCAGCTGACAAACAAGGATAAGAGCAGCTCAGAAATGGAGAGAGGATATTAGAACCAAGGGACTGAGGCAGTTATTGCTAAGGGGCATGTGTTTAAAGACCTAATCTGAGTGGATATATACCAGGTTGCCTTTCCCACAAAGTCCTGAATCATAACTGAACAGAAGAAGGTAAGAAGAATCTGCTGGATCAGGCCAGCATCCCGTTCTCACTGCGGCCAGTCAGATGCCTGTGGGAAGCCTGCAAGCTGGCCCTCTGCGCAAGAGCCCTCTCCCCACCTGCACTTCCCAACAACAGGTATTCAGAAGCGTTGGGTGCCTCTGGCAGTGGAGGCAGAACAGAGCCATCCTGACCAGGCTGCATCCCTGCATCACTTTAGGCAATTGGTCAAAAAGTGGGTGCTTAAAAGGGGCTTTGGCTGATACCCTCCCCCTTTAACTTTCATGTTTTAGTTTTGCAATGGCTGTTCTTGAATGGGCCACTACAGTTTGGGGGTTTGGTGCAAACTTTTTCATCTTAATGGGGAATGTTATTTATATAGGTTTTTTAATGCCTGTCATCTTTAGCAACCTTCCATTTTGTTTGAAAACTAGGCAGGGTCTGAAGTGATCCTCCAGGCACAGAGGCCGTATATTGCTGAAAACTTGTTCCTGGGGAGCAAGACTGGGGGGCAGGCTGTTTCCTTCACACCCTTCTCTTTGGGCTTCCTGGAATCATCTAATTGGCCAGCATAGGAGGCAGGACACAGCTGTATCTCTTAAGGTTCTCATCTCAAGCTTGGAAGTCCTCAGTAGGTGCAAAGACTTGAGTGAGAAATCGGCAAATTCCTTGCTGCCTGTCAGCAGCACGTAAAACACACAAGTCCAGCTAATTAAAAAGGATGGTTTATTGCCAAGAATAAACAGAACAGCCTGAGCAGCCTCCATCACAGCCTACGATGACTCAACTGGGGCCTGGTTTCCCTTTCTCTTCCTATGGAAAAAACAACGGAAATACATCCTCTTTCTGCACTGCTTCTCCCTCTCTCTATCTTGTAACCCACCTCTCTGGCGAAGTCTGTAGCTTATTGGTTCAGGCTCTCTCTCTGACAGGCTGTTACTGTGTCTCTCTCACTCTGTCGCTTGAACCTTCACCTAATTCCTGTCTGCTTGTTTCTCTGGCAACCTGCATATCATTCTCTTCCTCCCCTCTGTCTCCAACTTCTGCTGGCATTTGCTCTTCGGACAGTGGCAGATTATGAGATGTAGGTTCTTCAATCCTGACATCATTCCCTCCTCTAGGGGTCTCCTCCGGCTCCCCCTGCTCTTCCTCCTCCCCATAAGGGGCGCTATGGGGACCTCCCCACCATTCCCCTTCACTCTCTTCCCAGTAAGTGCTCCCCTGTGGATTCTCCTCTGTTTCCATTCCCCATTCTGCCTCACTCTCTTCATCTTCATCCTCATCCTCATACTCCTCCACCCACCCTCTGGGTTTGGGTTTACTGGGGTAACTGCTGTGGAATTATCTCTGCAACCTCGGGGCATGTATGTTCCCAGAATCCTCCCAAGAATTCTCCTCTTCCCCATACCCCTTCCAGGACACTAGGTACTGCAGTCCCTTCCCCCTCCAGCAAGACCACCTTGTATTCAGGCTCCCCTCCACCAGGATTGGAGGGGGAGGTGGCTCCTTCGTTGGTTGGTACCGGTGCACTGGCATCACAGGGGATAACAAGGACCTGTGGAACACTGGGTGTATCTCCATGGATGTGGGTAGTCAGAGCTTGAACGACACAGGGTTGATTTGTTCCACCACTTCGAATGGGCCCACTCTCTGGGGATCCAACTTACGACACTTCCCTTTACTAGGCAAGTCTTTTGTGCACAACAACAGTTGGTCCCCCACCCTTATCTCCTTGCCAGTTTATCTTTACCTTGCCAGCATCCCTCTTGTATTGTGCCTTTGCTCTTTCTAGGTGGTCTCTCAACAAGCTGTTGTAGCACAGCCATTTCCTCTGCAAACTGTTCTGCGGCTGGCACTGCAAGGTTGTCTTCCTGCCCTGGAAACCCTCGTGGGTGTCACCCTTGACAGGCAAAGAATGGGGTCTGTTGTGTAGATGAGTGTACCGCATTGTTGTAGGCAAACTCGGCAAGCGCCAACTTCTCCACCCAGTCATCTTGCTGATAATTCACGTAGCAGCGTAGGTACTGTTGTAAGGTGGCGTTCGTTCTCTCTGACTCTCTGTTCGTCTGCGGGTGCCTAGCAGACGAAAGACATACTTCTACCTTCAGTAGTTGCATCAGTTTCCTCCAGAACTGGGAGGTAAAATGCGTTCCCCTGTCTGATATGACTTTTCATGGCAACCCATGCAGCTTGAACATGTGCTCTACGAAGAGTTGAGCCATCTCCTGTGTCGAAGGCAGTTTCTTGCAGGGCACAAAGTATGTCATCTTAGAGAACAGGTCTCCCACTACCCATATAACGGTCTGTTTCCATGACTCCAGTAGGTCGGTAATAAAGTCCATCCCTATTGCTTCCCATGGCCCTTGGGGAGTGGGAAGTGGTTGAAGCAACCCTGCTGGTGATTCCCAGGGCCTCTTTGCTCACTGACAAACCTCGCATGCCTTGACATAGTCCTTGATTTCTGCCTGCATTTTGGGCCACCAAAATTTCTGTGTCAATCGCTGTCCTGTCTTAAATTGTCCGAAATGTGCCGCTGTAGGACTGCCATGGCATTGCCTCAGAACTTTGGCGTGAAGCTCCCCTTCTGGGATGTACAGCGCTTCCCACAGCAATCCTTCTCTTTCTGTGAAGCCCTCTGCGTTGCTCTCTCCCCCCTGTATCGCCTCTCTCTTCTTCCTAGCAAACTCGTCCTCTGCCATCTGCTCCCGGAATTCGGACATCTCAGCTGCTGTAACTGCAGCGAGTTGTAGCTGTTCCGGCTTGAGGATATGTCTCTGTACTGGTGCCGTCTCTGCCTCCTGATACTCCGGCTTCCTGGACAGGGCATCCGCCCTTTGGTTCTGCAACCCCGATACGTACTGTACTCGAAAGTCAAACCTGGCAAAGAATGGTGCCCACCTTATCTGCCGCTGGTTCAGGTGCCTTGCCGTCTGCCAGTATTCCAGATTCTTATGAACAGTGCGCACTTCCACTTCTTGCCGTCCCCCCTCTAGGAAATGGTGCCATGTTTGCAGAGCATCCTTAATGGCCAGCAGTTCCCGTTCCCAAATGGTGTAGTTCTGTTCTGACAGATTTAGCCTGCGAGAGTGGAACGTGCATGGCCTCAAGTTCCCGTTCTCATCTGCTTGGAACAACACTGCTTCCAGAGCCTTATCCGAGGCATCTGTCTCGACTACCATTGGCTGGTGCGGGTCTGGATGAGCCAAATGCTCTTCTGATGCGAACATGGTCTTGAGCCTCTTGGAAGCTCTCTGAGCTTCTTCTGCCCACCAGAAAGGCCTTTTGCCCTTCAAACAGTACGTTAGTGGTGCTGTTAATCCAGAGTACCTGGGTATAAACTTGCGGTAGTAGTTCGCAAATCCGAAGAACCTTTGTACATCTTTCCTGGTTCTGGGCTCTTGCCACGACACCACAGCCTGCACCTTGGTGGGATCCATGTGTACTCCCTCCGGTGTGATGTGGTAGCCCAGGAACTCCACCTCAGTCAAGTGAAACTGACACTTCTCCAACTTGGCATAGAGCTGGTTCTCTCTCAGCTGCTGTAGCACTTCCTTCACATGTTCTGCGTGCTCCTCAGGGTTGTCTGAGTATATCAAGCGATCATAAAGATAACACAGTACCGTAGAGTCTAGCAATCCTGCCAACATGTGATTGATGAATGCCTGGAATGTCGCAGTGCCCAACTGTAGTCCAAACAGCATGACTAAGTACTCAAAGCTGCCGTATCTGGTTCAGAAGGTAGTCTTCCACTCCTCACCCTCTCACACCTATATCAGGTTGTACGCCCCCCCCCCCCAAGTGCAGCTTGGTAAAGACCTTTGCCGACCTCAATCTCTCAACCAGATCCCCTATGCGTGGGAGGGGGTATTGGTTGGGTATCATCACCTTGTTCAGAAGCCTGTAGTCATTGCAAAGCCTCAGTTCTGCTGAGTCTTTCTTTTTCACGAACAACACAGGTGCGCCTCCTGGAGCCGTCAACGGGCAAATGAAACCGCGTTCTAGATTTTTGTCCAAAAACTCTCTTAACGCAGTCAACTCAGACAGGGAATACAGACGAGTGGTGGGTAGCTGGGTCCCTGGTAGTAAGTCAATCTTGCAATCATCAGGCCTGTGCGGGGGTAACCTATCGGCTTCCTTCTCACAAAACATGTCCCTGACAGCCTTATACTGCACAGGTAACTGTCCTTCCTCTCCCGTGAGAGGCCCACAGACCTTGGCCCCAATGGCCTTGCCGGTCTCTGGCATCCTCACCCCTAAGCAATGGAGTCTGCAATACACCAATCAGAATGTCATTGACCTCTGCCCTCACAAGATCATGGGGTCGTGCTTGAACCTTCACCTAATTCCTGTCTGCTTGTTTCTCTGGCAACCTGCATATCATTTTCTTCCTCCCCCCGTCTCCAACTTCTGCTGGCATTTGTTCTTCGGACAGTGGCAGATTATGAGATGTAGGTTCTTCAATCCTGACACTACTTTGTTTTGGTCCAGCTTCAGGAGCGAGCATCCTTAGCTTCCCCTCTCAACTACACTGTATGCCTGACTTTTCACCTGCACCCCCCCCCCCAAAATCAGACATCCTAACTTCTGACTCAGTTGTGATTAGATCAAGGAGATATAGTTGTTTTGCTCCTGCAGAACAAAAATGCACAGACCAATTAAGTTGAGAGAAGGTCTTTTATTGGACCAATGTCTTGTTATTGGGCAGAGGGGGGGGCAGAGAGAGAAAGGTGATCTTTTGAGTCAAAGTTATTGCCAGGCATAGCCTTTTTTTAGGAGGAGGAGGAGGAGGAGGAGGAGGAGGAGGAGGAGGGAAAAGATTGAATTGAGGTGAGTTTCTATTCTGAATCACTTTTCTGCCTTGAAAAGTGATGCCTGAGTGAAAAGAAAGTGGGTGTTTCTTAATAACTGCAGGTGGTCTCTTGTGTTGATCCCTTATGTGTTTTGTGTCTCTGCATACATCTTTTTCTTCTTCTTTGGCGATCCGTCGTAGCCGAGTAAGATTGTCTTCCATGTACACGGTCTTAACAGTGAGTCCGTAAGTGACTGTGGAGGCCAATTCTGGATCCACACGTCCTTCCACAGTGGGGGGTCATAGGTTTTCAAGCGGGAGTTGATCATGGTGAGGGTTTGCCAAGCGTGCCTTCCTCTTAGCACATTTCTCCCTTTCGTCCTGAGTTCAAGTGTCTTCAAAGTCCATGACACCTTTGATAAAGGCTGTTTTCCAACTGGAGCACTCGCAGGCCAGTGTTTCCCAGTTGTCAGCGTTTAGCCTACATTTTTCAAGATTTGAGAGAGTCTTTAAACCCCTTTTGTTGAGCACCAGCATTACGCTTTCCATTTTAAAGTTCGGAATAGAGTAGTTGCTTTGACAGATGATAATCAGGCATCCGAACACCATCACCAGTCCAACAAACTTGATGTTGAAGAATCATTGCTTCAACACTGGTGATATTTGCTTCTTCCAGTATACTGGCATTAGTTCGCCTGTCTTTCCAAGTGATATGTAGAATTTTTTTGAGACACCTTTGATGGAATCTTTCAAGGTGTGGGAGATAGCGTTTATAAGTAGTCCATGTTTCACAAGCATACAGTAAAGTTGCTTTGTACAAATAGCTTTGTAAACAAGCATCTTGGTTTCCCTGCAAATGTCCCGGTCCTCAAACACTCTGCCCTTCAATCGGGAGAAAGCTGCACTCACAGAGCTCAGG